CCTACCTACCTACCTACCTACCTACCTACCTACCTACCTACCACCACCAACCATCAAACTTTATTGCAAGTAACCACTTAACCAAACATATTTTCCTTCAACAGTAAATCTATATTGTAAGCCACCCGATGTCAAGCTACCATTCCTAAAGACACTACAGCAGGCCACCCACATCAGTCGACACATGACCTTCACCGTCTCCATGACAACTGATTTATCATGTGTCGCATCTAATTACATCGCGTCTTACAAAGCTGCTATCTACTCTATTAGCAATGTCACTGGCTCTCTTCAAAATGTATACCAAACTTTTGGCAACTTAGCTCAGAATGCAACAATATGGAAAATTCCCGCCAAAACGCTTTCTTATGGGAAATATTACGTCAAAGTGATGTCAGTCATCGAAAATAAGCGAGGTGCACAGAGTAGTGACTTTGGCTTTATTGTTGTGGGGGAGACTCCGCTGGTGTCTAGGATTGCTGGCGCAAGCTTGGTATACCAAGGAATCAAGGAAATTGTCTACCTTAATGGTTCGGGTTCCTACGATCCTGATATAGGACCTGGACATTATGATGGGATGGAGTTTATATGGTTATGTAGGAGAGATAATGAAAGTTTTAAGGGTGACCCGACGTCACTTCCTGTTGTGACACCGTCGTCCAATCAGAATGCAGATCTTGGTGGCTGTTATGGAACGGGTATTGGGAGACTGGAATCGAGTCCAATGGAAAACTATTCTTCGGGACTGGATATCGATAGAATGGAGGGAAACACCAAGTACGTTATAGCACTTCTGGTGAAGAAAGGAGAACGAAGCAAGTGGTCAGAGCATTCTATCTATGTTAAGGAAGAAATTGATATTGCACTGAAGTAAGTATACTTTTCATTGGAAAGAGTCAAGGAATAGAAAGGAAGGAATGGGAAGGAATGACGGAGGGAAAGAGGAGGGAAATTTAAGAAAGAARGTACAGTAAGCAAGTCAAAAGAGGAAAAGGAAAGAGAGTGTTTTAAATATTGATGTAACGGATGCAAGGGAGAAATATTACTTAATAATTTATCTTGACATTTATTTTTACATTTAATTTWATTTTTTGAACCATCTTTAGATGCATTCAGAACTGTCGCCAGAGAGTCATTCCCTCGGGAAGACTCATCATCGAGAGGACCTGCGAGGGTCTTCTGTGCAACAAAATAARCAGCTATGCATGGGACCTACAGTACCTCGACTCCAAAACACAAAAATGGTTACTCGTACCCAATTTTGCCGACTACATTCTCACTTAYATGAACTCTCCAAATCTTGTTACGAAAGAGAGTCTCCTAAGAGGAAATACGACCTATCTCCTGCGCCTAACGGCAGAAGCTCCCGGGGGCATCGCAGATACGACGAGTTATCGATTTGTTACGAATTCGCCTCCGACTGGAGGTACTTGTGACGTTGACTTGCAAGAAGGGGAGGCATGGTTGACATTTTTTAGTTTTACCTGTAGCGGCTGGCAAGATGTAGATTTGCCGCTGACCTATAAGTTCAGGTATAACACAAGTGATGGAATCGAGATGGTGTTTTTCTCTGGGAGGTCTAGTTCAGCTCGAGTCAGACTGCCTGTTGGGGACAAAATGGATGATATGAAGCTTCACATCCAGATTCTTGTGTTGGATTCCCTTGGTTCGGCTACTAGCTTCTGGCTGCATGTCAGGGTAAGAACCGTAATGATGGGTAGGAAGGGAGGGAAGGTACGATGTTTACGGAACTGCACGATCATGTGACTTCAGCTACGTTGGAAGTCAGGAAAGGGTCAGGGGCTGGGGATAGGAAATGAGATGTTGGCATTCACCGTGCATGGCTTCCGTTCTTGTATTGTCATTGTGGGCCAGAATTGAGGTTATTGGTGATGAAGGTTAATGTTCTAAATAGACCCTTTTGGAATTCGAAGAATATCACTTTGGTCTTTGATTACAGACTCATTTCAACGTCCAAATACTCACACATTCTAATAGTAATGCTAATAATACACAACTTTAGCAATGGAAACACTGAGATTCCACGGACTTTCACTGCAATACGTGATTCTAAAGACAAATTGAAGGCCAACCCTGATAACTGAAGGATGGAGTGTCTTAATGTTATCCATTATTCTAAATTATARAGTAACACTCTTTATTCAATCCATTAAATCTAAAACCGCTAGAATATTAATCGATATTTGATTCTGTATTAGGTCACTGAGCCCGTAATGTCAAGCATCTCCATCGAGGAAGCCGTAGGTAAACAGGGCGAGATGAATCAGTACCTCCAAGACAATAACATCGAATTGGCTGCCCAGCGTGCTACGTCTGTCCTGTCAGTTGTAAACAATGCTTCTCCACAAGAAATATCACTGGTTAAAAAAATAAAGGTAGGTCGTATTCCGGAGAAATCATCAGCACGATCTGTGGATACGTAGCCATGTCTACAACGATCACCATGGTAGTGAGTGCCTGGTTAAAAAAAGTTGGGAAGCAACAATAGGACGTTTGCATGATGGCGATGACTCCCACTACCATCATAATGCTTCGCAAATTTTCTTTCTTATTCAAATTTGTATTTCCTCATGAGAATAGTAAGGCAATTGGTGCTAACTACTGTAACTGAACAAAAGAAAGTGTGCAATTGAGTCTGGTAGTAGAGGTCAAAGACGCCATCACGCAAWCGTCCTATTCTGTTGCTAAATGCCAATCAGCTGAAGTAGCAAAGTATTTGGATATCATTTTTTGCTCCAAATGGCGGTCAAACACTTACAACATGTGCTGTCAGCCAGAAAGAATTTTATTGACGAGCCCTTCCACACGAGACAGGAAATTACAACTGATGAAACGAAGTGATTTCACCTATCTGTGGTAGGTTCCGTCACGGCCAAAACAAACCTGTAATGACCTCCTGATCACCGGATTGTATAGGAATGAGAAGCGAAAATTCGTGCACATATGCTTTACACATGGTAAGACTGGTTTCTTATACCAAACGTTTTTAGTTAACCTTTCTCGATCTTTTAATAGATAAAAGACGCTATAGTCAAGGCCTGGTCAAATGTTACTGTGAGCAACCTAGAGGAGATAGGACAAGTATCGGCAGTAATTACTGGCGTCTCGGATAAAAACGATGAAGTATCGTTTGAATCCCAGGTAAAGAACTGCTCCCACACCTATCTCTCTTTCTCCTCTGTCTCCCCGACCGTTCAGGACCAGACACCCTGGGTTCGTCGAGTAAGACTAGATTAGATAGATTAAGTCGAGATTTAGTCGAGTAAGACTAGATTGCTCATGAAAATGTAAGATAAACTCTTWTATATTTTTACTTGCTGGTATATTGTAATTTTGAGTTTTTTTGTGTACATGCATTTTCACGACACGTGATATTGTTTTTCCGCGCTTTCCCTCAACAGAAAACAATACTTACACTCCTTGGTAACATGACAACCATTTTGGAGTCAGAGGTTTCTAACAAAGCCAAAAATGATGGTAACGAGCAGTCGATTCAAGGTGTTGGTTCCAGCCTACTGCACGGTGTTGGAAACTTCATCGAAATAGCAGCAATAAATGCATCTCTAACAGAAAAGAAAACTGGGAAAACTAGACAACGGCGAGATACAGAGAGTGAATATGGCAACACAGAGGTGAGTGMTTCTGATTGTAGAAGTGCTATTACGTTTGGGCTGAGGACGATACGATTTACAGCTATTAATTGGCCATTTGCAACCAACAATCACAAGCTGATATACCACTTTGATAACGAATAAATTCAGCTAAAGCTCCCTTGGGAAAGGCTCTGCTGGATGGCAAACAAAGTAGCTTTAAATAGTCCCCTTCACAGTTCCTAGCACAATCTTAAATGGTAGCCACGCCTTTGCATCGAAGCGAGACGAACGGTGAGCTTGCAATGATAGAGATATGTGAATAATTGTCGTAGGTGTTAAAAAAAATCTCTATCAATGCAAGCTCACCGTTCGTCTCGCTTCGATGCACTTCAAGATGGCGCAGGAAAAWKTGAAAAGGACTATTGCTTCATATCTTGGAATCAAAAGTATCTTTTAGTTTCTTATGCAAATTGATTATTTCAAATCACATGACATTCCCTTGAGGATTAACTCCCAAGAGTGGCATCACATGGTCTGAAATGTGCACAACAGATCACAAAGCTAAAAACGTTTATTCGTTTCTACTTTTTCATTTATTCGCTTTCTTTCTGTTGTTTTCATAGAGCATATCAATGGTACAAAAAGCTGTGCAGTTGATCGACCAGKTGGGGAGCAGTTTAGAACAAACAAAAGAACTGTACGAAAAACCTAGTGTCTTTAAGACGAAGTCACTATCAATGGTCATCGATAGACAGAAGCCAGAACTCATTGGTGGAAAAACACTAAGAGAAGAAGGCATGATGATATCACTTCCGGCAGCTGAGGAATTACTTAGGGGGGAGGACGCGGGGAAAGAGGAACAAATTAGTTCTCAGGTAAGGATGTTTTAAGTTAAATTCACGTCATCATATCCGGTTATAATGATAATAGACGTTTTGAGGAGAGGGGRGAGGGGGGAGGGGGGTATATACACACCTACTACATCAGAGAAGCATGTTTGACTAGTGAACCGGATTATGGAAATTGGAATAAGCAATTTAAATTGATTAATAGAATGAATTCACGGTAGCAAAACAATAGAAAAACAGTCTTCTATAAGACCTCTTTACCTTTCGGCRTGCTGTTTTCCCATTTCATACCACGTGTAATTCTCTTGAGAATATTCATTAATAATTTGAGTTTAATCCATATTCATGTGTCTTCACATGTACAACTATTAAACCAAGGGATGACATGTGGTTTGAAATGGAAAAGGTCAATGTAAAGAGGCCTTTTGGAAACTTTTACAATACAAAAACATCGCTTTGTTCCTGGCTACAATATGGTTGCCGTCAAACCATGCCACTCTATTGAGTATTAATTCAATGTTTTTTTCTTTATTAGTTAGTATCGCTGACAGGGAATCCATTCACTTGGGACACCRGTGCACAACACGTCAAATCTTCAGTTCTCGACTTTAAATTAAGAAACGCTAATGGAACTCACATGGAAGTCAATAACCTCAACAAGGACTTTGAATTATTCATACCCGTAAAGAATAGTGGTGAATATCCCCCTGATAACGAAGAGTCATACTTTGTAAAGCCAAGCGTGAATGGAAGCATGCAGTATCACATCATCAACATACCTGGAGACGAATATGCGGTGTCGATCAAGATAAAACCTTTRTCAGCGGTTAACTTGRCATTGTAYGTGCGCTATGGCTCGAGACCGACAGTTCATGAAAACAACTACACAGCGGTCGTACCGAACTTCGAGTCGTGCAACTTTACTAGACTTGAAGGCTTTCACAATTGCACCTCTGATCCTTATACTGTTACCATATCAAGCGCCGTAACTGGTCATATGGGACTTCATTACATCGGCATTTTATACAAAATTTTCTCAGTGACGTCAGAGAACAGGACAGAAGTGCGCATGCGTGTAAGAAGGGATTGTTTTTCAAATGGTGGTCGTCAGAGGAGATCGCTCTGTGTTGGTGTTAAAGACCCTCCTCCAACTGAATCTACAACTGACAACCTTCTGCTAACATATGACCCACATACTGATGTGAATTACACCATGTCTGTTTCTATAGCAACCTGTTTATTTTGGAACACAACCCAGCAGAAATGGACATCATATGGATGTAGAGTAAGTCCTCTTGACTTGGGTTTAATTTTTTCTAMTCACTGTCAAAATTAATTCAAAATGTCAAAATTTTTCGTTGTTGTGAGACGTTCATTYTCCCTTTTGTTTGCTGTTACTCGAGTTTTTATTGAATTTTTTCACTTAGCAGCCATTTTAGCTTGGACAATAAATACGTAGCCTCGTATTCAAGCGTTTCAAAATGAGGCTACGCGGGTTTAAGTCCGTCCGGACTTCAACGAGAAAAAGTCCGGATGTGACGCAGGCTACAGAAAAGTTTCGTATATTTGATAATGCCTCCTTTGACATCACACTCATTAACAAATTAGAAGTGTAAATATTGATATCTCCAAGATGCATCTCTCAAACCATATAAAAATATTTTACCATTCAACTATAATTCACTTCATGTAGAATCAATGCTGAAATTATTGAGTCAGGGATCATAGGCACTTTAAGTATTTCCTCTTTTCTATTCTACTTTATTTTTTCTTCTAGGTTGGATCACGATCAAGAGTAGRACTTCTTCACTGTCGTTGCAACCACTTGTCATCGTTTGGCGGGAACTTTTTCGTCGCTCCAAATCCAATCGACTTCAACAAAGTCAAGCAGCGATTCATTGACTTTGACCCTGAGAATTTTGTTGTATTCTTTGTGGTGTTTGGTATTTTTGGGCTTTACCTTGTGGCACTTGTGATAGCAAGACGCGCCGACAGGAAGGACGAAGTCAAGGTATTAGTTTTACTTATTTTGAACAGTGCGCAGTTTTATATCACTGAAGTAGTTTACAAACAGGGCTCAAAAGTGCCTTGCCGTGACCTTGACGGCATTCGTCAAAGGAACGAAACAGTCACATCACGATCTACATTAGCTTTTCCGAGGTTAAGGAAAAACTGGRCCRAGATGGCATCACAGTGCATCGTGAGGTTGTAGTTTAGTGGAAAGTAAGAAAGACGCCATCTTGGAATTATGTCCCGTAAAAAGTCCCATAATACACTGCAATGTCAACTCGAACCAGTTTTTTCCTCAACCTCGGGATGTTTAATTGAATATTAGCCAACGAGATAACTTTTTGTTAGCTCCTTGTTTCTTCTCAAAATATGGCTTGCCTTTTTTTAAATCATGATTTGAGAATTATTTAATGTCAAGTTATATATATTTTTTCAGGCAACAGAAACCCTTTGTTTGTCGTCATCAAATRAACACCTTTTCGAGATATCAGTATACACAGGGATGTGGCGAAACAACGGCACAACTGCTAACGTAGYAGCAATAGTCTATGGACAGAATGGACAAAGTGACGTCCTTCCACTCAATGATAGATACAGCAAGCGAAAACTCTTCGCCAGGGCAAGCGTCAATGTCTTCATGGTCTCGTTACCAGACACTCTCGGTCCGATGGTAGGGATTAAGTTATGGCATGACAACGAGGGTTCCAGTCCCTCCTGGTACATCAAYCAGATTGTAATCCGGGACTTAGAGAATGACGTCAAAACGTACTTTGTATGTAATCGTTGGTTGGCTGTCGATAAGGAAGATGGTGAAGTCCAGGCTACTTTCGGTGTCTCTTCAAAGGAAGAACTTTCTAGCTTCAAATACCAATTTTACTCCCGCATTTCAAAAAGTCTGGGTGACGGCCATCTTTGGTTATCAGTAGTCACCAGGCCTCCGCATAGCCCGTTCACGCGTTCGCAGAGAGTATCTTGTTGTTTATCTGTCCTGTACTGTGCTATGGTTGCGAGTGCTATGTTCTATCAGTTTGGAGAGAAGACGAAAGACACTATTAAATTTGGACCTTTGCGGTTAAGCGTCAAGCAGTTGATGATTGGCGTCCAGAGTGCTTTGGTCGTGGTTCCAATCAATATCCTTATCGTTACTATTTTTAGAAACGTCAAATTCTCCAATAATATCAATAATCTCCGGCGAAATTCTTACTTGCCTCAAGAAAAGAACGAAAAATCTAAACAGAAAACTCCGGGATGCTTGCCTCACTTCTTTGTTTACATCGGATGGTTTTTATGCATGGCGTCTGTAATTACTGCAGGAACTTTCACCATTATTTACAGTCTCTCTTGGGGCGGGGAAACATCCAACCAATGGCTGACGTCGATTTTGATTGCGTACGTACAAGATATAGGTGTAATTCAGCCCATCAAAGTTGTTTCCTTTGCGGTTATTCTCGCTCTTATAATCAAAAAACCTGTCGAGGAGAAGACTTCTCATTCAATGAAAAAGGCGGATCTAGAAGTCAATACCAAAGTGACCATCGTTCCACCCGAGGGGGAAAAGCTCGAAGAAGCGCGCACTTATAGAAAAAATATCGTGGAAACGTTAAGAGCTGTTGGAGAGATTGTGTTCTACCTCATGTTTGTGACCTGTTTAATGGTGTTCGTGTATGGCAATCGAGGGTATGATCGGTACCGACTAACCAAGTCTATTGATGATATTTTCACCTCATCCTTCAAAGAGGTATAACATATCATAAAATAATAATAATAATATCTAAGCTATAACATATAACAAAATTATAGATGAAGTGCTCCAACAATCTTTAAAGTGAACTTAACCCCTGATACAATACTTTCAGTATTGATTCTACATAAAGTATAAATTATAGCGCCTATCATCAGGGTACAATGTTTGGAGCGACGTTCAGTCAACGGTTATATACGTGTACAAATAATCAAAAGGTTGTTGAAGCACTTCATCATTAATAATGATATCAACCTACAAAGAAACACTTATTATAAAATGTCGCTGATTTTCTTTACTCTGCTGTGGAGGAAGGAGAGAAAAAATATGAAATGGAAGAGAAGGGCACAATGATGGAAAAGAAAGTCAAAGGAATCCATAAAGCGTAGCCTGTGTAGCAGCCTTTCCACTCCCCAGGCCCACAGAATCCCGTAAGGGCCTGCTACGAAGGTTAATAAAGAGAGAGCCAGTACGCAAAACTCTTTTGGGAACTTTTATGGAAGTGAAGCTAACAGAACAATACTGGCAAACGAAAAAATTCAACTATTTGTGGCATTCCTTTCACATTTTCGTGTTAGCCTCGCATCCTAGATAATTTTAATAGGAGTCAATAGTCTTATTACCACTCAAAGATGTATAATTATAGAATTAGCATATCTTATTTGCCTTTTATTCAAGATTTCATCCAGTCAAACATTGTGGGAATGGTCGAGAACAAGTCTGTTACCAGGTTTGTACGATACTACATGGTACAGGCCAGGAGGACCAAGGATGACCGAGGGATACATCTCGAGTAAGGAAGCATTTCTTGTTGGTATGCCTAGGTTTAGGCAACTGCGGGTCAAAACAGGTGAGGATTTCTTCGTATCAAATTCATGGCCAAATTTAAAAAATTAAAGGTTAAAACGACCTAAAACTTAGAGTAGCTGCAAGAACACTAACAAATGCAACAATAACTCCTAGAGCARCAATAGACCTCTTGCATTGGATTCCTAGAGGAATTGTTCAGGGGACAAAACAATAGGACGTCTTTTCTTATGCAAAAAAAATCCATTGTTTTGTCCCCCAGAACAATTCCTCTAGAGACTCAGTGCAAGGGGTCTATAGCAACAATAACAGCAGCGACAATAACACAAGCCGAAGCAAGAAACAAGACAACAACAACAGCAGCAAAAACATTAACAACAACAACACTGACAACAACGATAGCAATGACGAAAGCAATAGCAACAACTGACGATACCTGATGATGGGTAGTGGATTCTACCCGAAATATAAACGACAGAATTAATGAACAAAATGATATCTAAACTTCTCTTGATTCTTTTTATCAGCAAACTATATGCCCGCAAAAACATTTTCCATAGAGAAACAACAACAACAAAACAACAACAACAAAACATAACAACAACAAAACATAACAACAACAAAACAACAACAAACAAAAGAAAACAGCAGTACCAAAAATAAAACCAAGCAGCAACACAAATTGAACTGAACACCAACAGCGAAAGCATCAGGAATAACAACGCTGACAAAAAATATCAATAGCAACTTCAAAAAATTAGCTACCCTAACGAATCTAAAACGGTGATGTGAAATTAATCTAATTGATAATTTAGTTAACTCATATGTTATGCTAATGCTTTTTACAGAGTCGCCTTGTGAAGTTGATAACTATTTTCCCTGGAGTGGGTTTCATTTCAACCGTTGTATCCTGCCATACGAACCACAAAACGAAGACAGGACTCCTTACAACTTTCCACGATGGGTTCCAGTCAAAAATATTAGCACTTATGGATCACTGTTTGATTTAATGAGACTCTGTCCAAAACCATGGAGGTACAAATCCTCCAAGGAACTGAATACATTTGACATCCAAGGGGTAAATGGAGAGTACGATGGGGGTGGGTATGTGGCAGATTTGGGCTATAACATGGAAACAGCCTTGGGTGTCATCAATGATTTACAGTCAGACAACTGGATCGATAGACAAACATCTCTGGTCATCTTAGAATTCACCGTATTTGAGCCAACTAGTTCGCTTTTCAGCCATGCAAAGTTTATTTACGAAGTCTCTCCTTCAACTGGTAAACCAATCCTGTCAGTTAAAATAGAGACGCTATCATTGTACGAAAGCCCGAATTCATCCCTCAGATCTGTGATGTCAGTCGTGCAAATTCTTTTACTGGTATTTATCTTTGTCTATTTGATTTCCGAGGTTGGAAAGATAATGGAATTGCGATGTAAATACTTTGCTTCGTTTTGGAACTGGTTGAACATTGTGCAACTCCTTTCTGCTTCAACGGCGGTTGTCCTATTCTTCTTCAAGGCAAATTACGTATCTAGGTTTATCAAACAAATCCAGTCCAACCCCTACCAGACGACCAGTATGGACTACGTTCTCCTGTGGTGTAACCTAGAGCTCTATATCATCTCTGTCGTCATTTTTGTGGTAACCATCAAGTTTTTAAGGCTCCTGAGATTCAATCGCCATATTTGCCAAATGACAGCCTCGATAACACATTCCTCCGGACATATTACTACATACACTTTTATTTTCCTGATAGACATGCTTGCGTTTGGGATTCTCGGTGTTTTAGTGTTTGGTCACACTGTCAAGGAATACTCAAGCTTGGTAGAATCCCTTAGTTCATTGTTCCAGAAATTTCTAGGTGGAGAAATGATATTTTACGACCTTTTGTCCACAAACCGCATTATTGCGCCTCTGTTCGTGTTCCTCTACATGCTGAGTATGACATTTATATTGGTCAACATGTTCGTAGCTATCTTAAACGATTCATACGAAAGTGTCCGCCATATTTCTGGAGGGAAGTTTCCCGATTCTGACCTTGGTAGTTTCATGAGAGAGTATTATCGGAAACGATTCCGAGGGACCCATGACATCCTGAAACGCAAGCTGGGAAGGTTTGGGTACCGAGCCAAAAAATACGACCCCCAAAAKGAAGAGATAAGGGGATCACACGAGGAGGACAATTGTATTAGCTATACCTCGCTATCATCGCAGGAATTTTCTTCTCATGTGAATCTTGGTTTTTCGTCTGAGTCCCTTGCATGTCCCATTAGACGCGAAGATCTCGTTCCTAAGGAACTTCAACCTAAACCAGCAGACACACCAGAAATATCATTCCCAGTAACAGAAGCAGAGTCGTTAGATTCCAATGATGTTGCCATGGAGACTGCTACCACGGTTTCTATTGCCACAACCAGCACAACACCAGAGCTTCTTGACCTCATATCAGAATTGCCAGAGTCATTAGTAGACGATGAAGACACTGTTGACATCGTGAGAGAAAAGCTCTCCAATGTGGGAGCGATTTTGAGACTGTCAAAACGAACATATAGGAGATTCTCGACCACAGGCGATAAGTTTGTGGTGGAAAGAGATTTCAATATCAAACCTGCGGTACAAATATACTTTACTCCAGAAACTCATCGAAAACACAAAGTCACTCTTTTTTAACTAGGCTCAATGTGGCAAAAGAAATATATCAGACATGGGAAAGATTGTGAACTTTTATTAACCATGGACCGTTATAACCCACAAAAACAACTGATCTTACTGACTATCAATTTRTTCATGCATCTCCACGTTTAGTGTTTCCAACTGCTTTTCCCTTACTAATGTAAGGAAGCAATTGAGCGATCCTATGCAAACAAAAGCTATTTTTTGAAAAGAAGAAGAATAAAATAAAAAAATTGTTATGATAAGCATTAGTACGRTTACTTCCTTTGTCATTCTAGTCCTAATTATAAACCGTAAAATTGTTACCGTTTTTTAAAATGGTACATGTAAAACATTGAGAAACTTACTCACTCTAACGTAACGGTAACTCAGGAGTCTGGGAACAAAACTGCGCCAAGTGAGAAAAAGTAAGTTTAAACACAATATTRAATAAAGGAGGGAAGAAAATATAGAAAACAAAAACAAAAACAAGACATATACACATATGTACACACAACGTTACTTTTCCCCCAGTCTAATTTTGTGTTTAATTTTTATTTAAATCCATATTTTTTTCTAATCACAGCTTCAAAGAATCGTTTGAAAAATTCACATGAAGCACAGCGTTTCTAAATAGGTCTTGACGCATAAATCAGTCAAAACGATAAAGTTTGAGGTGGCTTTGAAATCCATTTTTCGCCGCAAGTGGAACGGAACCATAACAGATCTCCGGGACATCCCCAACGCTGGAATATTAATCTCAGCCGATTGACAAGTATCCAATTGAAATATTTCCTCGGAAATAGAAAAAAAATGTTAACTTTTCGAAAATTTTYACCTGTTTTCTACTCCAGTTTTTCATTCCAGCTTTTTCTCGAAAATTCTGTCCAAGTGTTGTTTTCCATTAGTTGAAAAACCTCTATTAACTTTGTTTTCCATCTGTTGTCATAGCAACCTGTCATTACATTCTGACTTAACGACCCTACCTTGGCTAGAGTTGAATTAATGAGAAAATATCAAAACAACTTTTTCAAATGATGTGTTCTACTTTGTACGTGTAGACAGGGCTCCGACAGCGAAGGTCGCGTGGTTGTAACAGCAAGACCAAACTAGACTGCAAAAAAAAGGATTTCTTGCGAATAAGTTGGACATCTTTGAAGGTAAGTGGATATTTTCTTGAACAAATTTGTAAATAGTGCTCAATTTTTTTCAGTGATTGTTATTGATGTTTAAATTGAGTTTTGATTCTTTTTTTTTTTTTTTTGATGACGAGAGACGGTTGAACTGGATCTATATCTTTAACTTTAACAATATAATTGATTTTATCTCGGTTAAATAACAGGATTTAATTCACATTAGAGGCAACATTAATTCACGAAATTTTGTCTACTTCTTACTAAACTATAAAATCGTTTAGTCTGAACTATTTCTTAAAAGATTATTAGTTCACTAAAACTACAGTATATCGCCTCGAGTCGTTGTGTAATAGTAGGACGAAGGAGTAGAAGCCAAAACTATTTCTAATTCTAAAACCATTTCCACGTTGTACAGATTACTACTCATAACCCATCATATTCTATGCATTATACACCGACGCAGCTTAGTCTAGTTTGCTCGCTAGTTCTCTTTTTATTCCACGGTGTTCAGCTTACCTATAACCCATCATATTATATGCATTATACACCGACGCAGCTCCAACTAGTTTACTCGCTAGTTCCCTTTTTATTCCACGGTTTTCACCTTACCTATAACCCATCATATTATATGCATTATACACCGACGCAGCTCCAACTAGTTCCCTTTTTATTCCACAGTGTTTAGCTTACCTATAACCCATCATATTTTATGCATTATACACCGACGCAGCTCAAACCAAACTAGTTTACTCGTTAGTTCCCTTTTTATTTCACGGTGTTCAGCTTACCTATAACCCATCATATGATATGCATTATACACCGACGCAACAAGTTTGTCCTTCACTATAACACTTAGCAAGCTCTGCTTAGCAAATTATTATTCATATGTAACTAGCTCTCTGAGTAGTTATTCCTCGTATTTGTGAGAAGATTACTAATTATTAACATAAAGCTCCAATGTAAAGTTTATTTATCTCTCTCTAATATTCTTTAAGAACTCTTTAAACAATATTCAAAAAATGCTGGACTTTCAATCATCAMTTATTTTTAACTTTCTGAGGTCATAAAACTGATTTTCGTTTATTTGTGCAATCKTTGGCAATTTATTTTTTGTTTGTTATGATAGGGTTAATCGTTACCTAGCCAAGAAGTTCTTTCTAGAAAATATTCTGTTTTGTTGATTTTGGTGTCGATGTTTCGATGAGATGCCGGAAGAAACGACAAAACGAGACAAGATGAGTATTAATTAGAAGCACCGACCATTCGATAATGATAAACTAATAAAACGAGCGATTAGCCTCTTGTTTTTCTTTCTTTCTTTCTTTCTTTCTTTCTTTCTTACTTTATTCATTCCAGCCAATCTTCCTTCTTTTTCTCACTATATATATGATTTCATTCATTCGTTTTATCGCTCGTTAGTTCTTTCACTCGTTTCTTTATTCAGTTGTTTCCTAGTCTTTTCCTTCCCTTGTTAAATAATCCTCTCGTTCATTCATTTATTGTAGATATTTTATATATATTATATATTTCTATATATTTTTCAAGCATGCACGTTCCAGTTTTTACTGACATCTCAACATGCGAATAATGCGATATTTGCGACACATTAATATCCCGCAGATTGATGTCCAAAGGCATATCGCTTACAATGCCCTGCAGTGCTAGTTTGATAGCTTTCGTTAGGTTGCTTCTGTCATCTAGTTTTAAAAATCCCCTCAGCGTCTCAAAACTGTCAAAAAACACCTGTTGTTATTATTGTTGTTGTTGTTGTTGTTGTTGTTGTTGTTAGTTTTAAAGATCAATGAATGTATAATATTTCAACACTATTTCATTACTAAAAACTGCAGCCATATTTAGATGGAAAAGAAAGTGTCTTTGCTTAGAAACGTYATGGGTTTCGCTGGTTCATGGTGATATTTATTTTGTTAAATTAAATTACATAGATCTTTTCAACACATGATAATGTTGACTTCGTCATTGACTGAGTTAGCTAAGGGCTCTCTTTTATTTCGTGCAACAGTGTACCTAAAGATTGTTTTTCAAAAGAAACTTCTGACAAACTTCAAACAAATTTCTGAAGAATGTCTCAACGCGAGAAAAAAGGGGTAAATGAAGTACTAAGCTTGATTGAAGAAGTTTTTACCATTTTTACCGTTTTTACTTTTCTTTATATATATATGTATATTTACCAAGAAGCCAAAATCTTAATACGTTTTTCAACAATGCCTGAAGCAAAGGAAGCTCTTTTTATTTATAACACTTCAGCTAGCTAAATGAATAGAAAAGGCATAAAAACGATGGCTTGGAGTACACAAATCTATCACGGATGATGCTTCTCTGAACACAAAGGCTTCATTGAGGGCGCAATTATTTTCCTTTCAAATTATGGGTTACTCAACATGTACCGCTTAAAGCTAGTGTTAATTATTATTACTTTATGAGACGGATTTTTGTTTTTGGAGCTTAATGGTGAAGAGGATGGTCAACAACACGAAGAAGGGGTGTAAATAATATTGATGGTTAAGTAAATATGCCATAGAAAGTATAGGAAGGAGAGGAAGAAAATAAAATAAAAAATGAAGTAGGTGTCAAGAGCAGGAAAACATGATAAGAAAGTAAGACAAATAGACGATAATTAGATTAAAAATAGTAAAAACTGGTTTTATTGAACCAAAACGCAAGGGCACAATTATCATTGCTGTTATTGCGTTCGTTGTTATCTCGGAGTGTTTTCACATGAGCCATTTTTAAGGCGTAGGGACAATGCATTGTTTTTCGCAAGAAATTGCATTTTCCATGGATGGAATTTACACCATTGTTTGACTACATGACTACATTTGAAGCCGCTGAATAGCACAAAGCAATAGCAATAATRAAAGCGGTGATTACCGATGATGATAATGGTGTCATTGTGGTTGTGGTCAAGATGAAAATGAAATAATGRTAATCACGAATGATGGTACTAAAAATAATAATAATCGAAGATAATGATAGTAATGGTGGTGGTGGTTGTGGTCAAGATGAAAATGAAATAATGATAATCACGAATGATGGTACTAATAATAATGATAATCGAAGATCATGATAGTAATGGTGGTGGTGGTTGTGGTCAAGATGATAACAAAATAATAAGTGATAATTACAGTTGATGGTATTAATAATGATGATGACGGTGCTAGTGCTGTTTAAGGTTAGTCATTATATTTCACCACCGGACAAAAGTATTTACTGATTACAATTTGAAATGCGTTTAAAACTGCTTTGATACGATCACGGCAGTTAGTATTGCCGTTTTTTAAACAGTTTTAAACTCTGGTTTAAGAGTTTGATGTGACGTGACAGACGTCAACCAACAAATCCAAAATTCGATAAGTTGACAAAAAGGAGTAAGATGTCGCTCAGTCATAATAGCTTCAATTTGTAAAACTGACTTTTTCCTATAAATTTGTGAGTAGCGACAAAGACGGCAACGTAGAGACGCACTGGCGTTCGCTTGAGTATTTTTCGATGGAAATAAAGAGCTCTCGGCACGGAATCAATGAAATTTCGTTCTGATGATATATGACGTTTGATAGCCACTTCAGAAAGTCCTTTTTCGCGTAACTCACAAAACAAACGACTTTTAAAACAGCTAAGTCGTCAAACATGAGATAGTTATCTTGTTCTATTTATATTGATTACTATGCATTAGATATCGTTATTCCAGCTTTAAATAACTAAACTGAACGGTTAAAGCATGATATTGGGGCTCGTAGCTGGTGATACATCTTATCGATATGATGCGTCTGTTAGCTGCAAGCCAGGGTCGCGTTGCAAAGTCATTTATTTGACGTGAGACTTCAGCAAGTTTCAATTGAAAATGAAAAATTGTGATGTAAAGATTCTTTAAGGGTAACGTGACATGTTTTGGCTGGTGACAATTGAATAGTGATCTGTAATCATGAAGTTCAACTCTTCCCCTCTTAAGAAGACATTGACTGCCAACTTTTGCTTTCACTTGCGATTCAAGTCCTTCACATTATCCTCAAAAAGTGCAATTTCTTTTCAGCCACTTCACAGATTGGTCATATTTTTTTGTAAGTATTTGTTACTACATGTAGGAATAGCTTTTACATATGTGTGGTCCTCTCGTTACTAGGTGCTGGTTTTGGGCAAACTTTTACTGTTTCACAAACTAAGTGGTTACAATTTGTGCATAGCAATATCAAGAACAATATCACACGAACACCCTTTGTACCCGTTTTCTTGTAATATACAGTCCTTTGACTAAACGTTGTCGTCGATCGGATCATCCCTACCTATCATCCCTAGACCGAAAAGGATAACGGGTAAATTACCCAGAACTTGCGTCATCCAAACTGCTCGCCAGTTTAAATCTTCGCCGTATGCTCAAAGCATGGTTTTAGCAAATTAAATGGGATCGAAAACAGCGAGCTCAAGACGYGTTAAATAACATATGAGGCAGCTAGTAACTGTGAATTAATTATCCCCATGATCCTGTTTGGTCTAGGCGCGTAGGGATGAAGCCGATCAAACGACAACGTTTAGTCAAAAGACTGTATTTTTTTCTTCAAGTGGACACGCAGTGTTAAGCACCTTAATATACRAGTTCATGAACTGGGACTGTTCAAAATTTTGAAGTTCAATTTTGGCAACTGAGATGCATGGTTACTGCGCTTTGCGGTCAACAACACCCTTTAGTAATCGTTTTCTTGTAACGACTCTCCAGCCCTATTAAGCACCTATATATACAAATAACCTTAAATATAAAAATTGCACTGCTTTGTCAAGAGGTATGGTTGATGTGTGCTCAATGATGATAAGGACACCCTTTAGCGGTCGGTACGTTTTCTTGCCGTTTTTTGCTAGATGGTCATTGAGCACAACAATGACAATATACCCTTGCGCCAACATTATCTTGTAACGTCGTTCGGTATTCATGACACTACAGACTTTTGATATGTTCACGTACTCAGGAATAACTAAGCAACCTTTCGTGGTCGTTTTCTAGCCGTTTTGGCAAGATGGTCACTGTACGCAAAAACGTATACTCTTGCATCATCTTGAGGTATTTGTCGGTTAGATAGTATCCCATTGGAATATAATGATCCTTACAACTATTTTGGATGCAATGCTAACAGGGAGGTATCAAAAGAAATCAAACGTTTTCATTTCTTGGAATTTCTGTGCTATTTCTCTGAGATTTTCGTGTTAAATTAAGATCATATTTTGAAAGCGAGTGGCCTAGACAAAAGATTTATGTCCACGCCTATAGGTGCTTATTACACTTAGGGCTGTTTTCTAAAGCTCTGTGTAAATACTTATATTAGAAAAAAGAACATCTAAGTTTGGTGTTAATTCTGAACCGTATTAGTCCCTCTAGTCCCTCTAGTTAGATTACGTTTGTTTTAAGCTCCGAAACTTTAAACTAAAAATGAACATGACATCATATAAGTGTCAAGTCACCTTGCCTCCTATGACATAATGTTACCAAGTTTCCCAGGACGATTAATCCACTGAGACAAGCATCATATGTAACTACAACAACAAAAACTCATGCCGTTATCTGATATTCCATCGATGTCTCAAGAGGTATATCATTATCAGATCATCAACTCTATTCAATACAAACCACTTAACTGTGTTTACTAATCTTCCGTACTTCTCATATCTTATTGCCCTCGAGTTGCGGCAGCCAATAGGGTGATAACGGATCCATCCGGCGTTCATTGCCGCTGAAGCGAATATCTGAATTATGCCACAGGCACCACTTTTGGATCAGTAACTTGTGTAATTAAAGAGAGAAACGTATTAGATCTGAAGAGCTGTTACGGAACATATATTATTGTTATTGTTAGTCGTGGAGAAGARTTGAGTGAAAAATACAGATTTTAACACTTGATGAAACAAATGGGACCTAAGGAAAACTAGACCTCGTGTGTCGTCCTATTTCTGTCCACATGTTATTCCCTCTTGTATCATTTCTTTGTTTAACGGTTGTAGATCCATGAATATGGATACAACTAAAGCAAAGGATTTTAATCTCAAGAGAATGACACGTGGTCTTAGGAAATGGGGAAACATTGCACCAAAACGAACAAAGTTTATTGTGATAGTTAAGCATTCCTCGACGTTGTACCGTCAAACGAGATCGATATGTACAGCGTATAATTGAAATTACAGTCAAACCACCTCAAGCGTGAACACGTAGAAGTCATTAATGACTTTATCTTTGGATTCTTGATTTCATTATTCGATTCGAAGATTCATTAATGAAAACGAATCCGTCAAATATAATCAAAAATCACAACTGAAACAAAAACACGACGAAAAAAAAAACCAGGAAAAATAACTACATTTTTTAAAATTTCACTCTCCAAGGTCACATAGAACCATTCCCACAGGAAAATCTAATGAGTATTGCTTAAGCTCGTCCATGAGATCTACTACTATTTTGAGGCTATATTCACGTGACCAAATATACGCGCTCGTTCTGCAATTTCATTGGTTAACTATAATGCAAATACTCGAGTTTTCCATATTTTTTGGTGATGAAACTCACTCGTATAAGGAAGAAAAAATGCATTTCCCCCCTATGAATTCTAAATCTAAATACCGCTTAGATGCATATATTTATGTGGTATGAAATCGAACTTTGTGCTTTTTAGATTTAGAGCCTCGAAATTATAAAATGTCGAATAAGTCGAACAAAAATCCTCCCACGCGCGCTGTCTGCAGAACGTGTTATTCCATACGTTTTTAAAACCCCTACTCAGTTAAAATGTCACCGCGCTCTTTACCTTCCCGCGAATTATCTTTATTTTGTCCTCTCGAGACTTAAAATTCGTTTCTTATTTGTAATTAATTTTTGAAATGTGTTATCACTTAATAGTTCGACTCGTTAGCAAAAACAATCGTTTGTTAGTACATAACAATTCTAATCATTTATAAAGGCAACTGTACCGCAGACAGTAAAAAATCGTGCGTATTTGCGTAACTTTCATTTTTAAAGCGCTTAAATAATCCAATTTTTCATTTTTCAAAATTTTTCTTTCTTCTTAGTCTTCTGTTTTGTTTGTGCGCGTTCAGTTGTAATGTTTTGCTTCAAGCCAAGTCATCATTCATGCTCAGTTTTTCCTAATGTTTTTTCATTCCCTTCTGTTTTGTTTGTACGCATTTTCAGAAGTCTAGATTTCTCTAGCTTTTTTCTTAGAACTGTAAGGCCTTGTTTTTGTTTGCTTTTGTTTTTGTAGAGTAGAGCAGCTTCTGTAGACAAAAGAAGTGATCATGACTCCTATTTCTTTTAAGGCTTGCAAGTGTGTTGACTGTGTTGAGACAATTATCGTGATAAAACTGTCTTGAGCTGTAAGTTTTGTGGTTGAGTTTGCAAGAATATATGGATGAGTGAATGAATCGAATGAAAACTATTTACGTGTCAAAAAGTATCTAGACGAGGGAAGATCCATTTTACTAACAGCGGACGCCTAATAAAGACAGTCATCACATGTATTGAGATGTAATTAAATAGGCACTACAATAATTAAAATAAAAATAAGCCGATTCTCCACGTAGACACGACTTTTATTTGCATTCGTTATTGAAGTCATCGAAATAAGAAGTATAGACATTGCAAAATGAATCAGGGGACAACAGAGAAAGAGAAAAATAAAATCAAGAGAATGACTGAGAAAGATGGAGAATGAGATCAGAAGGAGAAGGAGAAGGAAAGAAGGACACTAGATAGATAGGAGGTATATATAGGGAAAAGAAGCGGACCTTAAATCGAATATTTATAGCTAAATCACTCAAAAAAACTTCGACACATTGGGATCTAGAGGTGTGGGAATTTACTTTGTCTCTTTCTTTTATTCGTGCGTACGAAAGTTAGAAGAAAAAAATGAAGAAGAGACCGAAATGCGAAATGGAAACAAAAGAGAACACAAGGAAAAGGAGAAAAGATAATGAAAGAAAAAAAATCATGATGAGAAGGAAAGAGATTTGCTGGTGAATTTTTTTGATTTGCCTAAAGATAAATATTTAATATTAGTAATATCCTTTCACTCAAAGAAGACGAACCAGTTAGTCAGGAAGCTAGAGTATAAACTTTCATTAGTGACGGGCGGCATCTTGCTTCCCATACGGACAAASAACTAGAGTAAAAAGATCGATAGCAGCCGTAACTTCCAATGGTGTTATTAATTAAAATTTATGTAATATATAATCACTGCCGATGATCAGTGATCGAGACATCAAGGCGGTCGCTTTAGAGAGGTGCTACTCTTATAAAGCATATTGCCTATAAGAGGACGATAAGCTCATCAATTCAAACACGCAAGAAGAATTGAACAAGTTCGTTATAGTGCGTGCACTTTTCCTAGTCTCGTCTCTAATCTTTCCCCGTCTCACCAAGGACCATTCTTCAGGTTTCAAGAGTGTTTTCATTCAGATAGCGCTTTTTCCTTTGTCTTATCTTCTTATTTGACTACTTATAGAGTATTGGCCTCTCAGCAAATGAAATATTTAGTTCAACGTTAATATCCACTCGTTCGTCATCCAAAAGTGCTTTATATTCTGGCATGTTTGGTTTATCTCGACCACCTTGTTTCTCTTCTCTTCTTCTAGTGTCTGCATTCATGATTACAGCTGCGCTTGGCTTCTGAAATCTACCTGCTCAGAGGTCTACGAAAGTCCTCGTTTTTTCTCTACCAACCAAGCTAAAATTAAAGGTATGATTACGACTTTAAATCCYGACCAAAATCATAATACCTCGATTCTTCTCTTCTTCCTCGTTAACGTTTCGGAAACCAATGTTTACTGACATTYTTACTCTGAAATATTTTTGAGTTTGGTTACGAAATTTATGCTCCAAAAAATAAAGTGATTAACTTTTTAAAAAACTATTTTTTAAAAACTAACTATTGATAACTAATTAAAATGAAATAGTTACTTCAATATCTTTTATATCGGTTATCTAAATATATGAATATAAAATAAATTGTTGTTAAAGGAATACTATATAATAAGTTCAGTAAAGTAAAGACCAATATTCTGTTGCGATAGTTTATTAGAAAATTTGAACAACACTGCTCTTAGCCAATCAGAATTGAGTAATTTTTTCATGTATGTTATTAGAAGGATTAGCAGGATTACAAATAATTAGAAGATAACGTACTGGGTTATTCTGTTAAGCGGATTAAAAATAATTGAGGTGATATCGAGTATAAATATCTCACTAGCTAAGGTATAGAGTGACTTTCATAAACCCGAGAAATACACACTAGCCCAATATAAATTAGTAGAYCCTAATTCCATTGTGTTCTTTTGTTGTCATTTAACTATTACACACTAACTAATGGTATTTGTTTCACGGGTTTATGAAAAGCACTCTTCTGTATATATATTAAAGTGGTGGTAATACTTGCCTCGAGAGAAATAGTAAACACAATACATAGAAGTAGACACGTACTATTCCACCGTTTACTTTTGTTTTACTTGTTAGTCATTAATAGACCCTTTGRCAAAATGGCGGCCGCAAATGAACGAGATGAATTAAATCTTGAATGAAAAACCAATACCAACACTAGAAGGAACACCTTTTTTAGTAGCCCTACGAAGATTCATTATGTCATGATCAAGCGTTATAAAAAAAACATAACTCAAGACTCACATTGACAAATTTACCGACGTTTGTATAACTAGGGTATTGCGCTTATAAGTTAAAATCATTTAAGGGTCGCCATTTTTTTTCTATTATGCAGCTTTCTTTATTCGAGCTCATGTTTGTCGAATGTGTTTTACTTGATAAAATAAGTAGCAAGATCGTGATTGTATTTCAGTAATTATACTAGAACAGTCTGGCTTCAAGCTAATGCTTTTATCTCAAACTTCGGCTCTTTAAACGGTCTGTTTTGTTAAGGTTTATGTCGACCCTCTAGGGTATAACAGATCAGAAAATAACTAAAAGCTGTGAATTAATACTGCACGAGACATGTTCCATAGAAAAGTACTTTATTTAATAGTCACCACGAAGGATCATGGGGGCATGTGCCAAAAAATACTCTGCATAAGTGGGGTGGGATAATTTTTATGCCATCCTACGAGTATGGGCGTCGAGGTTTGCGTGCTAGTAGCGCAATCATCTCTCATCTCTTCGTGATCTTGGGTTTGGTTACTGGGCGCAGCATCACGTGAGTAGAGTTTGTTAGGTCTCGCCCTTGATTCGAGGATTTTTCTCTGTGTTCTCAGGTTTTCCTCCTTCATTAAAACGCTAGATTCCAATTCGATCCGCTGTGAGACTGAGATGACGTGTCTTGACGTGACTTAAAATTGTTCAATCCAGAGTTTGCTTCAGGGAATCGATAAAAATTGAACATTGTTGAAATTTGATCATTTTTCTAAGCTGCTGAAACCTCAACAAATATTCTCCTGGAAAGAAGAAGAGGTACAAAAAGCTGAATTTTAACATTCAAAATAATTCTCATACGAACGACTCTTTGTGAAATATAACTGCCTGGGGACTAACTTTAGTGAAATAAGTATCTATCTATTTTAAAGCGACGGTAAGAATGCACTAGTGCGCGCAATAATTTAAGATACCGAGGGTACCTTCGTCAGCTGCGAAGGCGATTTGCAGGAAAAAGAAAAAAAGGGAAAAAAAGGATATTGGTACATCAATGAGATACACTAATCCAAGTCACCTTAGGAAAAGCCACCAGGAAATAGAGTCAAAAACATCGAGTTTTTTGTGTCTCTTATTTAAGCTAAAAAATGTGGACACGAAAAAAAGTATTGCGCCAATCACAATCAAGCCCATGTATCCTTATAGATCCTCTAGGGTCCTGCAATCAATAAAGCTATCGGGATTACGTTAAGTTATTTCATGACATTGTCGGAACTAACTCAAGAGTTTAATGTACCATGATTGCATGCTTACGTCTTCWATTCTTCAGCTTCTGGAAGAAGTTTGATCGTCTGGATGGAATTGGTCATGAGAAATATAGGATTTTAAAGATTAAATTTATTTTGTGTCAAATCCGTAATTGAGTCTAAAGCCCCRATTATTTGAAGCCTGAAAAGAGCAATTTCAATTCATCAGTAAGATGTTTGGWCATGTGATTTATCGAAATTTAGTCTGATATAAAGACTTTGGATGCTTTTCTTAGAAATTATGAATTTTTGGTTAGATGTTTTTTAAGCGTATTCATTGATCCAAGGAAGAGTGCAATCCAACAGAGCTAAGTACGTATAGGGGAATTCTTAGAAGATGTCCGTTAATGTTTGGCACATTTTCATTTTTTCTATATTTCTTATTTACATTCATTTTCATTGTTGATTGGTATTTTATTTTAGAAGGATATTTTTAGCGAATTCAATTAAGCATGTCAATTTGTATTCTGTCTGGTCAACGTTTTATACACTCATGGTAGGAAAGATGGTATGATTAATTGTTTTTGACTTTTTCTCGTTCATTCGGTGGAAAGATTTTTTACATCTTTAATAAAAGCCAAACATTTCTCAACGATAATTTTTGTCCGGAAGAACTGGGAAAATTTCCGGTAAGAATGGATGAATTAACTAGTTCTTTTAACTGATTTTTGTAACGCTGTTTATGTTAAACAAGTATATATATATATATAGCAATGTTTACGTTTTTATAAAGGGTGCTTTAAAAACTCTTTAATTTTTTGAACATTTTTGGAAAAGCAACGTAAATTTTTTYTTCTTCATTATTTCTCCATTTAAAATATAAATTGGGTACTTCCAAAATTTTTGCATGTGCCATATCGAATATTAATGTACTTTGGAAGCAAGTATTGGGAAAACATACAAGGAATATAATGGAAAGGAGCCTAATTAAACGAAAAAAGGACAAAAAAATGTGGGAAGGATAGGAGAAAAAAATATATAGATAAAGAAGTAAATGAAAGAGAAAGAGAGAGGAGATATAAAAAAGTGGAAAGGATTGGAAAAAAAAATAAAAGGAAAAAAAGGAAAGGAGAAGGAAGAGAAAGGATGGAAGTATAGAAAAAGGAAGCAAAGACAAGGAAATGAATGGAAGCTACTAATGTTACAATAATCGGTGGAAAGAACCCCGTATCGTAAAGGTACGTTCATGTTTATATATTTGATTTATGACAGCATATGAATTATCTTAATAATGATTCCATGGCTTCTGTTATCAACTTATGCCTTCATTCTTCACTCCATCTCTACCAAACCTCTTCACTTTTTGCTTTACCTAAAGAAAAATTAGACTAGTCATGAACGTGACTGCAAAGACGCAAAGAGCTTCACCTATTGTATAAGTTTCCCTAAGGAAGTAGAACTTTGTGAACGATTGAAAACTTCCTCGTTATTACGCTGTACAGAGTTACTAACCTGAATAGCAATTAAATACTCGTCGATAGTTCTGAACGTTTCTTTACGAAGATTGCAAAAAGAAATCGGCTATAAGAAATTCTATAAGGTGACTCGTGCTGGCAAAAATAATATAAAGTTTTACGCTTTGTATTTTTCTGTACATTCTGTCTTTAATTTTATTATGATTGAAGCATTAAAGCACCCGCAAAAACGGCTTTGTCTTGGCGGCGCTACTCTATTTTACGCAACGATCTGTTATTTGTCAGATCCATTCATTTCGCCCACCTTTGCTTTTACGTACTAAAATAAATTCTCGGCAGGAAGTTTTTAACCATATTTTCCTTTAATTCTGATTACCATGGCTTATTGTCGCAGAACAGACAAARTATAGGTATATTTTGGAAGTCTGTACTTCGGAAGAATGCGCGGGAAGTGGTTAACAAAGAGCGACGGCYGATAGAGACTTTTGTTAATTCAAAGCAAAGTTAAAAAAAAAGTGACTGGGCAAAAAGAATGAACAGAAAAGACAGGAAAGGTAAGATAGATTGTACTATTTTTAATTTTAAATAAATGACTAGTTTGGTCTAGAAAAACAGGTTTGTAGATAACTGAAAGACGTTGTTTTGTGGCGTGTTTAAGGATGTARAAAAATAAAAWAAATAAYAGATAAATAAATAAAAATAATGCCAAATGATTGGTAACACTGTCATTGATATTGCCTTAGTTTGATATTATATATACTGGCTTTGACATAGCGTATGGCATAAGCTTGTTTTCGTTCTATAAGCACAAAACGGTAAGTACTTAATATGTTAGGATTTCATTCACTAAAGGATGTTCATTTGCGGAAAGCAAGGCTTGCC